GGGAAGGGGAAGGGGAAGGGAAAGGAGAGGAGGGGAGGTGGGAGGAAAAGACAAAGGAGGACAAAGGTGGGGAGTCTGGAAGAGAGACTGGTGCCAACATGACATGTCAAAGGGGAGATGATGAGAAAGGAGACTTAACCCACTTCAACCCCCCTATTCTGTCTATTTGGGACCTCGAGACCTGTCGTTTTGTCTGTTCCTGTGGACCTGTCTCCCTGGAGAGCCCAAGATTAGGTCAGATCGGGCCCTTCTCATGTTGTCACTGAGTTCCGATGAAAGCCTCAGCCTCCTGACTTCATGATGACTGAGAGAAGAAAGAGTGGGGTCTGGGGGGAATCCACACTAGGTTGCTGTCACTTACCACCCTGGGCTGAAGGAGGTAGCTGCTACTAGCCAGACATGGTCCTACAAAAAAACCACCCTCTCAGAATCCCTGAGAAGGAACCTTAACCCCTTTGTTCTTGCATTTTACCAGATGCCCCAGGGTGACTGTCCTCCTCCTGCCTACCTTCAGGGCGGGCCCCTTCTCGCTGGCCCGCTCACTGGCGCGCTTTCCCTCCAGCCCCAGCTGCACAAACAGCTCCAGCAGGTTCATGAGCAGCTCGTCCACAAGGTGCTCGTCCTGGATGTTGGCTGCAATGTTGGCCAGGGCATTGATCACTGCCAGGGAGCAGTGCCTGGTGGAGAGAGAAATGACAGCTGCCACAACACAAGGGCCTACACTGCAGGGGTGAGGCTGACTAACGCCTGCCTCATCACACCCCTCTCGGTGCCTGTGAACAGAAGAGCCCTCCAGAGGGGATGAACCTCTCTGTGAACACCAGCTCCTAAAGGAAAGTCAGCTGCTATAGAAATGGCTTTAACCTCTCCAGACATGCATTAAGGACCTTGGGGAACTGTTTAGGTTCCAGGAATCCACACCTATGGAACTTGTGAAGGTCTTAGGATACTGTTTTCTGAGTGTCGAGAGCCCATTACATAGCTAAAATCTTGGCTGGACCCTGCTTTCCTTTCAAATTATAGGTACCCTTAATTCACTATTACCATCTATAAAACTTTCCTTTGATGATCAGCTTCTTCCCCACGCTACCTCCAGCCCACAGTATTAGCTCACATCAGACACTTAGGAAGCACTCAGTGGCTCTGGGACAACCTACATCAGGACAGTGTTGGCCCCACATAACCCCTGGACATGAAGCTGATGATGCCCTCCCCAGCCAGAGACAGCAAACCAGCAAGGCTGGCCTGGCTTCTGAAGGTGCTGGGGGCAGCCAGAGCCTACCACTTGCATGCTATGTGACCCCAGGTGAGAGGCTCATCCCTGAGTAAAGCAGGAATAAAATAATTCCTTCTTCACAGGGTTTAGGAGGAATGAAACACTCTGTGTGAAATACTGAGCACACCACACCGTCTGACCCCTGGAAATCTCTGAGCAAACAGCACCCCCTTCACAGACACGTGAAATCCTGGGAGGTAAGGGAAAATAAAAGCTTTCACTGGTAAGGAAGAGGACAAACCACTTCTGGTGGCAGTATCAGAAAAGGCTTAATGGAAGGGTGAACTGGAGTCAGAAGTTGAAGAGTTGGTGGGCATGGAGAAGGCCAAGTACTGCCCACAGCAGTAAGATAGAGGCAAGGGTCAGAAGGAAAACAGCAGGGGCAAAGACACGGAGGAGAAGATGTGAAGGCCAAGGAGGTACAGGAGTCACTTTCAGGACAAGGAAGCAATGAGGGAAAGAGTTGTTTTGGTCCATGTGTCAGTTTCTTCACAGAGACCAGGATAGATAAAGGGGAGGTGAGCTGACTGCCTCCTTAAACTAGTCCTTAGGCTGTTCTGGTAGCCTAGGCTCTCAATGGAGGCAGTGAGTAGGCAAAGAAATGACAATGCCAAGAGCTTGCATTTATCGAGAGCTTTCCCACATATGATCTCAATTACCCACACAACTAGAGACAGGCATTCATTTGACAGATGAAAATATGGAGGCACAGAGAAGGTGAGATCATTTTTGGAGGTCACACAGCCACACTCCCACCCACTAAATTGACTCAGAATCTCAGAGCGAGGCCTGCATGTAACGATCAGGAAGGGAGACCATAAATGCCAACAAAAGGGCAACATCTCTTCCTCCCTGCCCCACCTCTCTGTCCCTCTCTTCCCTTGATCTGTCAAACTCTATTGAGATCCTCCATATATGGATAGATGTGCCCTGCCCTTATGACATTCCCAGTAAGGGCAAGGAATAGACAAGGAAGCATATCTTGGACTTCTGGAAAAACCAGCCAGACTTTACACAAATATCAAACATGTGAAGATGTAAATGTCTACTCCCTTTGGCCCTCCAAATCCCACCCCTGGGAATCTATCCTGAGGAAAGCATCAGAGACACTCACAGATATGCAGCTATTAGATTGTTCAACGTAGCACTTGCCAGCAGAAAAACTGGAAAATAACACCCAAGCTAGGGACTAGTTAGAAATATCTCAGTGCTGGGGCACCTGGGTGGCTCACTTGGTTGGACGTCTGACTTTGGCTTAGGTCATGATCTCGCGGTCTGTGAGTTCAAGCCCCATATTGGGCTCTGTGCTGATAGCTCAGAACCTGGAGCCTGCTTCAGACTCTGTGTCTCCCTCTCTGCCCCTCGCCCACTCACGCTCTGTCTCTCTTTGTTTCAAAAATAAATAGACATAAAAAAAAAAAATCTCCATGCTGCTATATGATGGAACACTACACAGCCATTAAAGATGACAGGCATATGGAGGAACGTTAATGGCATGGCTTATGTGCTGTTACATAAAAAAGTGGGTAAGCTGGGTGGACACTATGAGCCTGTCTGGAGTCACGGAGGGTTTGGGGTAATGACACTGACATGGTCAGCTCCAGATGGCAGTCGCATGGGGTCTTTCCCTCCTGGTTGTGAATGCACTACTTTGAAGTACATAATGCTTTTGTAGGAAGAAAAGTTTATTCAAAAAATAAATCCCCAAACTTCACACTTTCAAAGACGGCTAAAAACTGTCATGATCTAAAGTGACAATGAGGTCTAGAGAGTTACCTATAGCCATGATCCTTGTAATCTTTAGTAGCTGAGTACACGACAGAGCTGGCCTTCACACTAATCTGCTGGAAGAGATTCCACACTTCCTGATAAATGTATTGCTGGAAGAGAGTGAGGGACAGTTAAACCATGTCATGACTTCTCCATGAAAGCACTCCTTGATACATGGAAAAGGCCCCATCATTCAGAGGGAAAGCTTCTGGAATCATGCATGGACCATAATAAGGCCCTGAAAGACCATCAAGGGCATCCATTCCTAAAGCTTTAGGCAAACCTCAAAGGCTAAAAGGAAGATGGTTTCAATGTAAATCCTATTACATGTTATTAACATCAGCATGAAATAAGTTTAAAGAAACCTCTCTTTTCCCTAGCTCTTATGGAACCATGATACTATTCTCTTTTACTTGGAAAAAATCTCCCTGTTCAATGTCAAGACAGTTGTGAGCATTTAATTCTACAGGGTAAATTTAATCTATTTTAACATTCCTGATAGTCAAAGGAGTGTAACAAAGCTTGCATAGAGTAGTGGGTTTCACAGCAGGTCCTGCCTTACGTTTCCGGTGATAACCAGGCAGCCTAGCTGGTCGATGATGAGAACGTCAAGGGGGGAAGGGGGCTGGCAGAATTTCTGTTGCAGGATCTGCAGAATCGGTTCCATGACCTTTGGAGTGTCCCTCAGGGCCACTGCGATGTGTCCCAAGGCTCGGATGGTGTGGTCAGGAATCAAGTGAGCGTCTCTACGGGAGGAAAGAACAGAGGCATTCTCAGAACAGTCCTCTGGGAAATGAAACCCAGAAGCTTCACAAGCTACAGCTAACAGGAACAAACGTTACCACAGTCATCTGACAGTGGCAGCCTGGAATTGTTAACTACCAGAAGAAACATAAAGTCCCTGGCACTGGGCAGTAAGACAGACATCTTTCTCTGCTCCCAAACAGTGGTCCAGGATTGATACTCTACGGTAGGTTTGAACTTAAATCCTGGGACAGATCTGATGCACAACTCCAGACTGCAAGAAAGAGCACAAACATGCAAGACACCGGGTGGCTCCCCAGGTAGGCCTGCAGGGAACACCTGGCTGCCCCCTCAGGGATGGGACATACTTGTCACTCTCCTGGGAGATGTAGAGCCGGTTGGAGAGGCTGGCCAGGAAGGCCTCCACGATCACTGGGTCCACAGTCAAGCCAGCTTTCAGGCACCTGGGACATAAGGAAACCCACACAGCACTGGGTATCAGAACAACAGATGAGTGTTTTGTGTTTGCTTTTTCCCCTTTGTCAGGTCTACAGAGTTTAAAGAACTGCTCTGAGCACTTTTTTGCCAGAAATCTGAATGAAAGTCATTACACAGAATGAATTCAAAGAATTGCTGCAGATTTTGCCCACTTGATAAATATCTCAGTCGGAAACAGTAACTTCATTATTTGACCAGAACAGTTTCCTTCAGAATGTTACCCTAATCCCAATTTAAAATTTCCAGCACTGTTCCTTAACAAAAGTCACAGTAACTAATTCAAGACAGATGGTCCCAGGACAGCTGAGGGAATATTAAATATTATATCAAGGTTTTAATAGTATGGAGAAATGCTTATTTTTTAAAGAAAAGGGGAACTTTTAAAAGCCCGTAAGGACACAAAATCTTTTCAGGCATCTCTCACTCTCTGCATCTGTTTGGCTCTGAGGACACAGGCAGAGAAGAGCATGTGTCTGATAGAAAGGGGCCACCACATTCTCTCAACTGGGCTTCAGACAGCAAGGAGCCAGAATTCAGACGGAAAGATACATTTTCACATAAATTAGAATATCTGTGGTTCCTGAGTTCGGAGAGCAAGAGTTCACATAGCAGGAGCCTGGGCAGCAAGGTCACGTGATCATATAAACCGCATTTCTTACACCAAAAATTACACAGAAGAAAAAAAGAAGAAACGTGACAATCTATTGTTACTCTGGATGGCAGGCTGATGGATAATTCCTTTCCTTCTACTTTTCTATACATTCTATAAATTTTCTGTTTTTAATTACGTTTGTGATCAGGAAAAGAAAAGCAAGAAGCTTTATTTTTTTAATATGAAATAATCCCTCTTTTTAAATCAGCTATAGGTTTAAATAATCAGAAACAAGCTTTAAAAAATTACAAATGTTTCTTATTTTTTAATAACCGTATCTAAAACTTGTTTCCTTCCTCCCCAGGTCACCCTTCCCTCTGGCCGGTCTCCCACCTGCAGATGTTGTCAATGGCAATGTCCCGAAGCTGCTCATACATGGAGGGTTGGCTCTTCTTTCCCGGCATGACATTCAGGGTTGACTCAGAATGCTCGTTGGTTACACTGATTTTTATATCATTACCAGCAACTAAATGTAAAAATTCAAGTATGTATCTAGTTAAGCCTGTCATTTCCCATCCCCTTTTCCATAATTCAAAATCAAAATAATATGCTGATCATTTTTAGCTTATAAAAGCAACCCCTCTAAAATGATTTGAACAAACATTTCAGAAACAAAAGTGAGAAGAGGAAGGATGAAACAAACATGTTTAAACAAAGGGAAAAATATTTAAGTTGCAAAGTGATAAATATGTAACACAGCAATTTCTTAAGAAACAGTTCAAAAGTCCTGATGAGCACCCACAGGCACCCAGCCCCGAGGGTGAGACATGCCCTATCACCAAAGGTTATCTAGCTAACGTGCAAAACAGGTAAGGGTAGGGGGTGAGTGTGAGAGCAGGAGCCTTAGAGCCACAGAGACCCCTACTAGTCCCGGGGTCCAGGGAAAAGTCTTTCACCTGCTGAAGACTGGGTTTCTTCATCTGAAGGGAGAGAATAAAGCATCCACCTGCACAGGACTGGGTGGGATAAGCAATACATTAGAGCCCCAGCAGGTGTTAATGAATGCTAATGGTTACAGGTGACCAGATTTGCTCTGAACCTGTGCCATTGTTATAGAAACATGAAAATACACTCACAAGGCAGGGATAGGGACTAGCTGAGATGGAGCATGGACAGTTCCTGGCCCAGTGTCTGGGACACACTGGATTCATGCTTTATACTGCCTCAGTGACAGACAGAGCTAAAACCCCTCAGTCATAGGAGTATATGCAAGGGGAGGGTGGAGGAAGGAAAGAACTGAAGCCTGGAGGGGGTCATGTAAGGAAAGCCATGAAGAAAGGCGTGAAGAAGGAATGAGCCAAAGTACAGTGCAGGATTGCAGCCCAGCCACAACCTCTCAGTCACAAAACGATGGTGGGCTTGCACACAAGGTCATGTGGATCTTTTCTTGGAGCCTCAAGAGCACATGGCGTGTAGGGACTGGAGAGATAGCTTTGGGTACAGCCATCCATTACCTGTGTGGTATTGACTGTGGCACTTATAGAGCTTCACCAGCACGGGGGATGGAACAACCAGGAAGTCCCGCAGAGATGGCGTCACCGAATGTACCACCACCGGGAACCTCTCACACAGGCGGCCCAGACCCTGTAACACACCATCGACCTGTCACACAACCCAGGTTGTGGCCGGCTGAGCAGGTCCAAGCAGTGAGACGCTGAATGCTTCAGATACACAAGTTTGACCAGAAACTTCCAAGGTCAAATCTTCCAAGGCCACTTTGGCCATGGGGCAAAACAAGACAGAAAAAAAGGAGGGTCTAGACTCTGCTCAGCCTAAAGGGAGATATATTGCTAAAGTGTGTCCATTTCTTTTGGAAACAAATTTAGGGGAGAAAGGGTATACAGTATGATTTTTGAACAACGGCAAATTCAGAGTTACTGGGGTTTGTATTTCAGCAAGATAAGAGAGCAGAGCTGGCACTGTAGACCTCAGGAGATGTCTTCAACACTTGGCCTGCGACCTTGGGAATGGCCCAGTAGATACAGGGCAGCCTCTTCACAAAGGAGTACTCAGTTGTGCCTGGAAATGACAGAAATCCCTGGCACACTGTCAGCAGTGACTCCCACTCATTGGTGAACTGTGTCCATAGCAGGCTCTAGTTCAAGTTCCTAAAGACAACAACAGCTCAAGGGTGCATAGGTGGCTCAATTGGTTAAGCATCCGATTCTTGATTTTGGCTCAGGTCATGATCTCATGGTTTGTGGGACTGAGCCCCGTGTTGGGCTCATCACTGACAGCACAGAGCCTGCTTGGGATTCCTCCCTCTCTCTCTGCCCCTCCCCCACTCACCCTCTTTCTCTCAAAATAAACAAATAAACATTAAAAAAAAAAAGAAAACAGCTCAGACTCTGCTGCTGGTATGCTAATCAGAGCCTGAATGATGTAACAAGAAAGCTTTGTTGATGGGATCGAAGCTTCTCCAGTGTCAGTGAGACTGACCTGCAGACAGCAGATAAGCAAGGGCAAATGGGCAATGATGACTTTGCTGGATGTCTTAGACTGCAGCTTCTCAGACAGCTTAATGCAAAGATTTTCTGCACCTAAGTTCAAAATCAGAGGAGGGTGTGGACAATTAACAAAGGTCAATTTTACAAAATACATGTTCACCAATTAATCACATAACTAAAAGCCCAGAGGCATACTTTGTGCAGGCTTTATTAATAATAAGTGGTTACACCAAGAAGTATTTACAGGCAGGCATCCTTAACTGAAAACTCATCTCTGTTCCTTTTCTGTTGTGAAAACACCATCCTGCATTGTATGTGACTGCTCTCTCCTCTCTGCTGGCCCTGAGCCTCTTGTCCTCAGTGCTCTGCGCGTGGCAGCCATCCACAGTCTGCTACGTGCTTCCCATTCTGCTGTTCACCCTAGACAAGCACCTTTTCCTCCAGCACAGAGTTCCCACTTCATATAAAAGCCTCAAAAACCAGCAGGAAGCAGTGGAAAGAACACACAGGCCCTGTGGCCTTGCCCATCACCTCCTCCCATGTCCAGTTTCCTAAACTGTGGGACAAGACACCAGATATCTGGGGCACAGCAGACGCCAATGCTTACCTTGCTCATCCTTCACAGCCCAGACCATGAGGTCCACACAGGCAGCATTTGCCTGGCAACGCAGCTTGAGGGGGCTCAGCTCATTGTGGATCCGGTCTGCATCATGCAGAATCTTCTGAAGCTCCCCCTGGCTCGTGTTGAACTGCTCCAGCACAAAATCATGGATCTCCTTCACAAAGGAGGTTGGGAGGTCTGTGGGAAAGAGAGCAGGCATTGCAGGTGGAAACAAAACCACCAAAATTCAGGCAGCAGCTCTATGGTCTTTCTCTAACAGATACCCAAGAGGAGTAGGTCTGCCACTGGCTCCTTTGGTTTCAAGAGTGCCCAGTGGGAAGAGCTTGAATAGGCTGTGCTGCCTCTCGGCACACATGCCACCTGGCACTCAAAGAAAACAACCATTTCCCAGGGAAGTGAGAGCCATGTTGTTTTAAGCAGTCTATATACTAAAACCCATATGTATGAAACAGAGAAACTGGCATGTATCATCACAGACACTGGTCCAACTAACAATAAGAAATACTTTGGTGATTTTAAGTTTATTTATTTAATTTTGAGAGACAGAGCGAGTTGGGGAGGGGCAGAGAGAGAGGGAGAGAGAGAATCCCAAGCAGGCTCTGGGCTGTCAGCACAAAGCCCAATGTGGGGCTTGATCTCAGGAACCATGAGATCATGACCCAAGCCGAAACTAAGAGCCGAAACTAAACTCAACGACTGAGCCACCCAGGTGCCCCAATTTTTTTTTTTTTACAAGAAGGTTGTTGGCTATCAGCTAAGGGCAAAATCTGGTTGCAGTCTGAAGAAGAGAATTCCCTGGCTACAGGGCTGGATCTTTGGGGTACCCAGAGTTCACAGCTTCTTCAAACTCTCATCCTTGGGGCCTGAAAAATCAGAAGAACCTCTGTGATGGGCACAAGTCAGAAGAGCCAAGGAAGCTGGCAACATGCAGCTCAGGTGGGGAGAGAAGCCTCGGGGTTCCTAGGGGTCAGGCTGAGCCCAGTCCCCTGCACCCTCATTTGTGAACTTAACATTCGCTGGGGCCCCAGCCAGACTCAATCCCAGGAGCTCTTAAAATTGAATTAGGAAAACAGCTAACTAGATTACAGTACATCTGCTTGACCGAATATTACACACTGATCAAAACTTATGTTGAGGGGTGCCTGGGTGGCTCAGTCAGTTAAGTGCCAGACTTCGGCTCAGGTCATGATCTCAAGGTTCATGAGTTCGAGCCCTGCATTGGGCTCTGCACTGACAGTGTGGAGCCTTCTTGAGATTCTCTTCCTGTCTTTCCCCCTCTTGCGCTCTCTCTCTCAAAATAAATAAACTCAAAAAAGAAAAACTTATATTGACAAAAAGTGCTCTGTAACATAAGAGAAGAATGCAGAAAACATGTTTTAAAAATGTACTAAAGGGTAACTGGAGGGGCGCCTGGGTGGCGCAGTCGGTTAAGCGTCCGACTTCAGCCAGGTCACGATCTCGCGGTCGTGAGTTCGAGCCCCGCGTCGGGCTCTGGGCTGATGGCTCGGAGCCTGGAGCCTGTTTCCGATTCTGTGTCTCCCTCTCTCTCTGCCCCTCCCCCGTTCATGCTCTGTCTCTCTCCCAAAAATA